CTATGGTGTATAAGGGTTGGGGTTTTAGGGTTTAGGGCTTAGGGTTGGGGTCTAAGGTTTAGGATTCAGGGTTAAGGATTTAGGGCTTAGGGTTTAGGATTTTGGGTTTTGCACCAAACCCCTGACAGTCCTCATGCAAGGACGCTTTGCTTGGAAACTTCTCCCTCGGCCCCGAAAGCATGGAAAATCTTGGACTAAAACTCATACAACGAATTAAACAAGACCATTCTTCTACATACTCTGGGGTCCATGAAAACCATATGAGCTATAGCCTAAACTNNTTAGACTATGGCTCATATAAGCCCCTAAAAACCTAAATCCTTAAACATCCCATTCAAAAATGGCACATGGGATGTCGGAGCATGTAAGTAAAGGCAAACCCCACTTTGAGAAATCAGAAGTTTCTCAGAAAGAGGGGTTTTCAGCTTAGGGTTTCAGGGATTTATAGGGATACTGTAAGAAATGCCTATGGTGACACTACTGCAGGACCAAGGTGCCGGACCCATGATACCCCACAATTGCAAATCCCAAACCCAAAAACCCTAAGCCCTAAACCCTGTGCCCATAACCCTAAACCCTTAACTCTAGATCCTAAACCCTTAACCCTTAACCCTGTAAACCTCTAGCCCTAAATCCTAAACCCTAAACCCTTACCTTCCGCCCAATTGTCCCTGACGTCGCCTGCCACGATTTCGTGACCTAGACCGTCCCATGGCTCTCCGCAAGACCCTACAGTCCCCCTTAAGTAGATAGAATATGGGATTTAGGGTTTGGGGCTTAGGGTTGTAAACAGAATATGGCGTATATGGGGATCTTATTATCAGACACCCAAAGCCATGTTCTATCTACTATAAGGGGGACCCTACAAGTTGTAGGGCCAATTCTGGAGGGAGGGGTACAGGTTGCCAGGGTCTTGGTGTAGGGTTCAGGGGGGTTGGGGCTTGAGGTTTAGGATTTAGGGGTTTGGGGTTTTAGGGGTTCAGGGTTTAGAGATTGCAAAGCTTGGGGCTTAGAGCCCTGAGCAGAAGGTTGTCGGGCTTGGTCTAAAGGCCTGGGGTTAAAGTCTTTTGCGCCCGAGCATGCTCGTAGAACGAGGATACTGGACACAAAGCAGAAATTTCCCGTTCTATGGACGCTGCTGCTTCGATACTTGAACATGCAGTTTAGGGCTGAGGGTTTAAGGTTGCCATAGAGTTTTGGAGTGGTGAGATGTGATATCGGTTGGTCGGGTTGAGCGCAAAGTGTTGGGGGAGGACTTTTCAGTTCTTGGATGTCCATGTTTCCCTGGTGCTACACACCAGTCAGCTCGGATGGCTCCAAACAGCGCACACGCATTGCGTTTGGTTCGAGAAGACGCTCAGACGTTTCTCAAAATCAGCTTAGCCTCAGGACCTCAAGGATTGAAGGTGCTCATAGAGAAACTAACGTGGTTCCTCTGGAGGTTTCGGCTGATTTTGCATGGGTTAGGTTGAGAGGCTTTCATTCTTTGACAGGGACAAGGCCTACAAAACATGATTGAATATATGGAGGGCTTATATCAAGGGATTGTGTGAAGTAGAGGCCTCAATAAATACCCCCTTAGCCCTAAACTCCAACCCCATGACGTTTTCAGGCATATGGATGCCGGAAGACGGTCGGGTGTTTGGGGCTCTTGTTTGATTGAGGACGTCTTTCCTCAAAGCGAGGGTTCAGGGAGTTCAGGGTTTATGGCTTCAGTCATTCAAAAGCAGGTTACTGTTCCCTGCTTCCTATCTGAGACCACATTCCGCACAACTCAGGAACCTGCTGCATAGGGAATTGGGCTTCCAAGTGTATATAGATGAAATGAACGTCCAGAAGCGGAGCCCGTGACGGAGAAATTCCACATGTGGGACTTGGCCTAAACTGCTGTTCCCAAAAATGCGGGTAATTATGTCTAATAGGGATCCGCATTGTCATAGGAATCCCACTATAGGGACGCGTGTTACAAGGAATACACGGACATCGCCCGCAAACCCTAAACCTGCCCCTGGTCTCCGAGAATGGGTTTAGGGTCCAGGGCTTTGGGTGGCAGATACGGTACATTTGACAGGCGCTCGATATTGGCAGTGCTGTTCTTATGATACCCTAAACCCTACCCTATCCCCGAGCTCCTCCGAATTAGAAAATTAATACTTTGGGTTTTTCTGTGCGGCGGTTCCATAAAGGGGGAGCCCAATATGGACCCCCAAATACTATAATCCTTATTATGGGGGGTCTGCAACATAGCAACTGGGGTACGGGTACTTCGCATCGGTTCTAGACCAAGTGTTCGGGTTGTCAACATGTTGGTCCCCCTGAGTTTTCGGCAAAATGGCATGGACCTCAATTCTTATATCCACACCCCGTGGGGTTCGATATGCCACCCTGTTAGCACCCATGTCCTGATTGCTCCCGATGCTGCTTCGGAAAGTCCTGCTTTCCTTCAAAATGTCTAGGGTTCTTGAGAAATCCTCAAGGAACCATCGCTCTTGCGAAACTCCCTCATTCCAACCCACATGCCCAGAAAAGATTGCAATACTACCCCTGAGGGTCTAGGTGCCTATTAGGTACATACTGGGGGCCCCCAAAAACCAGGAATTTTTTCGGGCCCCAAGTACGTGGATGGTTGCTACAAATATGCCCCTTTACAGGGTACCCTTTTATAAATACTCGGGGCCAGATTATGATGAGGACCCAAATCGCGACCACAGTTTTGGCAACCTATCATATACGTTATGGAGTTGCCATATACGAGGCCACCACAGAAAAGATCTTGAAATGCTTTGCATCCAAAAGGGGCCTCATTTTCAGTACCATGGGGCCCTGATTTAAGGTTTTGGGCCAAGGTGGCGACAATGCCTAGCCGCTGGTAGAGGGTTGGGCTTTAGGTTTAGGGTGAAAGGGTTAGGGCTTAGAGTTTAAGGGCCAGACTGGTCTAGAATTGATGGGTGACGCGTTGGGGTTTAGGGTTGAGTTCCTGGCCTAGAAAGGATAACATTTTACACAGGCGAGGACCAAAACGCTAAAGGGCAACCTCTGGGTCATTTCCTCTTACAGCAGCAGCCCCTACAGAGCTTTTAAAGGACCATTCTTACTGATTGTGGTGACAGTTGCTGCTGCTGTGAGGGGGAACGACCTAACGTAATCTGCGCAACTACCATGTCGAAAAACCTAGCCTTAGTATCTTCGTGCATGAGGCTCAGGCCGCCAGCAGGCCACCGCCAATACTAAGGTCACCGAGGGGTTTTGCGATAATGGAAAAATGGACTACTCTACACTGGAAAACCAGATGAACAAGAAAATGGAGAATCAAATTGAAGTTGGGGTTAAGTACCTGAGGGTAGAAAAGTGACTTCCGATTGGGCTTCTGATCTTCGAAGCGTCAGCCAGTTCCGCGCGCAGCTTTTTCTCGCATTGGCCCCGGCACGTGGTGACACGACTAACTACCTCTTTCTGTCTTCTGATTCCAGTTGCGATGCAACTCTTCTGGTGTGATGGCGCTTCCTAAGCTAGATCGACAATGTAAGAATTTCTCAAAACTATGGCTACAAAATGCACAAGGACCCCGCATAGACCCTCTAACATCCCTCTACATCCCTCATCTGCAAAGGATGAACGCTGGGACCCAACAGTCGGACCCAGCATGGGTATCGGTGCACATAAATACATATATATATATACATACAGCCCACATATAATCAATGTGCAATTAAGGACTATAGTCTCCAAAAATCTCTAACGGCCGTAGCTTCCAACCCAGCGGTCCGACGGTCTCTGGGGGTTGCCCCCATGTTAAGAAAGCCCATTAGCTTCAGCTCAGCTGCAATTCTCGGTCGTGTCTCCCGTAAGATTTATAGGGCTTAGGGCCTTTATGCTACTCATCTTTGATTCGGTAGCTATATACCGTTCGCCATAAGATCCAATGAACGTCCTGGTCCCTACCGTGGATGGAGGAAATCTTGCAACATAGTTTCCATTTTCTTTTTCATTATCCCTATGCATCCCCCATAAAGCCCCTTTAAAGGGTACCCCTAATTTTGGAAAACCACCACCTCTTCTTCCCCATCGCTTTTGGTAGGTTGGCTTGTGGAGGATTTCCTCTATCCACAGTCGTTCGAGTAAGAGTGGCTCACTTTGAACGCTTTGGCAGCTGCAGCCTCTGCCAACTCCTGTAATGGGTGTGGGTTGGTTTGTGTTTTTTCTGATCATTTTGCGATTTGTCATTATTCTAATTACGTTGCTTCCTCTTATGCTTCCTGAATCCATGGCTTTCCCTACTGCTGAGCAGAATTGGAAGGTATTGCCGTGACAAAATCCGACCACGGGATCCGAACCCCTAAACAAGCCAAAACAAGCCAAGTGCTGTTGGTAATTAAGGGAGAGTAGCGAAGCGCATGGCTGCGGTAATTAAGCTAATCTAAGGTTGAAACCATGGGCCCCAAGTGTGGGCCCGTAACCCTGGGATCCTTATCTACCTGGTCTATACCCTATGTGTACACTCAAGGGGCCCTATAGTGTCCCTAGAAGGGCTAAGAGCCCTAAGGACCGCAAAGAATCACAATAGGTGAGCCTGCCAGGTTTGTAGGATGAGGCATCAGGGCTTTAGTAGTAAGGTGATTTTGACGACCCGAACCCAGAAAATAAGGAGCGTCTGACTCCTACATGACTCTGATAGGGGCCACCGTACGGGGGTTGGGCTTACAAAATCCTCCTATTGCTTGTGGCCTCATATTTCAAGGTCACCCTAAAATCCTAAACCCCAACCCCAAACTCTAAACCCAAAGCACTGGACCCCAAACTGCCTGATTCAAGAGAACTTGGGCGGTACCCGTACGTTGGTTGTACCGCAAAGAGGTTCCCTAATATGACCACAGTATAGCATAGTACGCAACCCATATTACCCAACTGCCACTATGGACGGGTAAAACCCCAGCGCTACAACCCAAGCGTAACATCCTGAAGCCCTCCACCACCCAAGCCCAAACTCAGGCCCACCGTCCTCAGCCGAACATGTCAAAATCATCCTTCTCTACGGCTTTGTCCTGGGTTGGTTCTACGTGAGGTACTGGGGAGCCAGAACTGGGACTAGTTACACATCCTCTAAGTAAGCTTCCACCAACAGTTTTTTCCAAGTAGAGCCCCCTCAGAAAACATAAGCCCCAAATGTTGGGAAAACCCCATATCAGTGACTATAGGATGTTACCCGATCGTAGCTTTTTTCTTCACCTGGGTGCCTTCCCTAAACTCTAAACCCTAAACCTAAAACCTAAACCCTAAACTATAGATGCTAGGCGGAACCTCGGAAGGGGATTATCCTTCTAAAGTGGGGCGCTGTGGGGCTGGTGGTTAGTTTGGGGGGAAGTCTAAATAAAGGTCTAGGGTTTGAGGGGGAGGGTACGAACACCTTGGACCTTGGTCCTAAGCTGAGGTCCTTTCATTGGCCCCCTTCGGGCCGTGAACTCCGCAGGCGCAAGGTTTGGGCTTGTGGGTTACATGATGAGAGAGAGAGAGAGAGAGAGCGAGATAGAAATAGAAATAGAGAGAGAAAGGGAGAGGCAGAGGGAGAGAGAGAACAAACAACAAGAATGCTATTGCGGTCGCCCTGGACCATTATGTGAAAACAACTTCGAGAAGCTCCAGCTCAACCATCGCTGAACTCAAAACCCGAACTCCGGCATCCTAAGCTCCAAAACCACAACTCTGCCCCCCCAAATCCTAAACCCTAAACCCTAAGCCCTAAACCCTAAGCCCTAAATCCTAAACCCAATCCTAAATCCTAAACCCTAAACCCAAATTATTGCGCCATCCTGAAACCCCAAACCCTCAACTCTAAATCACTTACTCCCAAACCCTGGGCCATGATCCAAAACCCCTGACTGGAGATTCTCATTGACTATAGGCATTCTATGGGGGTTGTATGGGGCGTTGGGATGTATACGCTATTCCCTATAAAGGAGAAGCACATGGAAAACATAACGAAACATGACATGGAAACTACAGTCTTATTGGGCTGGACACACAGCAGTAGGAACTTTGTGTATAAAGTGGAACTAATTTCTAGTCAGCTTTAATCTCAATTTAAACCCTTAGGTCCCAAATCCTTATCACCTCAATTCTTGACCCTAAAGTCTACAAAGCAACTTGATAACCTTTAAACCTCCTCACCCCACCCCTTTACCCCCTTGAACCCTAAGTGCAAGCTCCGCGTCGTTGAAAACCTCTTTGCTGGGCTCCGCGGTGGGTTTCATGACGGGGCTTCCCCCATCAACGCCCTGTGCTACCATTTGCTTTCTTCGCTCAATATACCTGGGACGAGTCCGATGTAGGGTTTAGGGTTGCGAGTCCTGTTTTGGGTGGTTTAGCATCTGCTTTCTTCGTCCAAGATACCTGGGGCGAGTCCAAACGAATTAGGTTCGGTTCTACCAGTGTAGGTCTATACTTGACTTTCTTGGAATAATCCTAGCAGCTGGCGTGCTGATGCACACGCAACCTTAAACCCTAAACCCTACATACACCCGGAACCTGAACGCCTAAACCGTCAAGTCAACTCTGACTGTGCTAAAGCCGTATGGTTTTAAGGTATACGGTACGCCCAAAACTTTGAACAGTTCAGCATCTATACGGTTTTACACTTGTCGGCCCCCTCAACTACAAATCCTAGACCCCAAACCCTACACCCTAAAGCCCACGATATTTTCCCTTCTTCCCTGCTAATAACCCGTGAGATGACAGTGCCTGGGTGTGTGCTTGTCCGCCCATCCGAACTGAATCACTAAGGCGGTCAAGTTCTCGTCGCTGCCGGCTTGGAACCTCGGGTTTTTGGGCTTTAGGGGGGTTAGGGGTTTAGGGTTCAGGGGTCTCGGACTCAGGGCAAAGTGTTGACAGGTTTCTTGTTGACGGTTTGGCGCCTCTGGAGTGGCAGCTCAAGTGTTCTGAAGCTCGTACGTCCTTTGATCTCGTGTTTCAATAAACCCTAAACCCTCAACCTGTTCAGCAATTCCCTAGGGATCCAAGTATACAAATAATGCCTACATTGGGCCCTAAGGCCTTTACATATTACCTACATTGGGCTGTTTGGATCCCTAGTGTTTTAGAATGTACATGGGACCTCATGGGAATAGGCTTTAGGGGTCTATAGGGTCCTTTCACAAGGTCACTCGAAGCTCCCAATATCCATGTATCCTGGGCGCTGGCGGTTTATGTCGCTGCTACAAAGTGGTCTATGTGCCCAGTATGGAACGGTCATGCAAACAGCTGAACTTTACAGTCTCCAAACCTCTACGACAGATTTCTCTTGCTTGAAGGACCCCAGACTCCAGCTCCAAAAAATGCAAGACACTGAAGCCTCAAAAGCTGCAGCCTGAAAACGCCGCAGCGAAACCTGAACCTGAACCCTTTCAACACTGCCGACGCTAAATCCTAAGCCCTAAACCCTAAGCCCTGAATCGTAAGCCCCAAATCCAAACTCATGCGCACTGCCCATCCGAAGCACGCCGTCCGCACGATGTTCTTTGCCGCCTCCTCTGAATCATCCCAGTGCTTGCCTCCACTCGGTTAAGGTTAAGGGTTTAGGGTTTAGGTGCATCGAGGGTATTCCCGGCAAACCCCCAAATCTCTCTACCAAGTCATGCCTCCTTTTGAAGTTTGCACTTCCTTAAAAGCTTCAAAAAGCATCATGGGGCTTACTCTAAAGCCTTGAAACGCATAAACTCTCAACCCAGCACTTGCGGTCACTCAGATTCCGGTAGAATCTTCCTGGAGCCATATATTCATTACCGGCATATAAGGGCTTAGGCTTTCAAACCTACATTCTATGCTTAAACTCCTAGACCCTGGACTGTAGATTCTAGACCCTGGATATTAGCCCAACACTCTACATCCTAAACGCCTCAACCCTGGACTCTAGACCCTACACCCTGAATGCAGACAGCATGCTGGCACAATCGATGACATCCTGGTTCGAGAGGACTCTTGTGACCTTGGCTTGAGAAGGGGCTTAGGGTTGTAGAGTTGGTGGTTTAGGGTTTGAGGGTATAGGGTTTTCAGGGGATTAGGAGTTTAGGCCTGGGGTTTAGGGCTTCGGGCTTTGAGTCTGAAATCCTAGTAACTCCCTTAAGAACCCCTGTAATACAGGATACAGGGTTTTGGGTTTAGGGTCTGAACTCCTAGCATCCCCCTTAAGAACTCCTGTAGTACAGGGTTTTGGGTTAAGGGTTGGTTTTACGGTCTGAACTCCTGGTATCCCCCTTGTTAACCACTTTTGTAATCCCCTTTTTTGTCTCTGATATATACCCCCCGCCTAGTTTAGATTATGGCTCATATATACCTTGACCTTGCAACTACCCTCTATTGGTTTACTCAGAATTGGCTGGTAACTTGGAATAATGGAGAGTAAGGTTAAAATAGCATGAGCCACAGTCAATATTTCTCGGTATGATTACTGGACATGGGTTCCTGATTAGGGACTATACTAAACTACAAAAGGGGAACCCTGATGTACACTATTCAGGGTCTGCAGAGGTATAGGGTTTAGGGTCTACGTGGGCGCAGCTCCGCCCTTCTTCCATGCTCAGCACATTCGAAAAGCCTCAAATACGTGCCCCTGAAATACCAAAAGCTGTCCAGGAGTCCAGCCCCTTTGGATTTACCATAAGGTCTAGGGTTTCCCTGTAAACTTTCTGGCCATCTTGCTCCCCAATCCCAGCCACGAACATACAACCACAGACACCCCGCCAACCTCACACCCTCTTGATCGCTAAACCCTAAACCCCTACTTTATGCCTAAATGGGTAGGGACAGGTCGAGGGACCCCCTCCGTAACGAGCACAATGAAGAGGTCCTTGTCCGAAATCGGCAGCACCCGCACCTTTTGCAGTAGGAAGTCACAAGGTCCAGGGTTTCGGGTCCAGGGTTTGACGTTGTACTTTCGAGTATAGCCCTGCATGTACAACAAGCAATTGGTGCTGGGCGGCAATATGCAGAGATCAAGGCTTTGGGAGTTTGGAGTTTTGGGCGTTGGGGGCTTGGGGGTCTTGAGCTTTCAGGCGTTCTCAAACCCTAAACAACCCTAAAACAACCCTAAACCACCCTAAACCACCCTAAACCCTAAATCCTAAACCCTGATGATTACTGGACTCGACCTGAAAGATCGGAGAGGTGTTTCTCAGGCTTGATAAAGCACAATGCAAAATCTGAAAAAAATTAGGCCCTTCGGATCCCAAATCCAAAGCCTTGAACACCCCAAATCCAATCCTAAACCCGTAAACCCTGCAGCCTATTCGTTGCGCACCGTTGGGGCCAGCAGACCCTACATCTCCAAACCCTAAACCCTAAACCCTAAACCCTCAACTCGAAGCTTCGTAGACACCAAAGCTCTCAGCCCCTACCCCCAAAAACTCTAAAGCCCCAAACGTCTACCTGCCAGAAATTGGTTTCTGGTCGGGATATTCCAACATTGCAAGCTAGTGTGTGTTCCTCATTTGGCTTTTGCATAACACTTATATGCTGTATTCGGTAAGGGACCTAAGTAGGAACCCATCATGCATCTACAACTGGATATCGATAGCTTACACACGAGTAGTTTCCATAGTATCCCATAAAGACTCCCATCAACCCTGAACCCTAAACCCTCCAGCAGACCCCCAAAACCCTAAACCCCTAAACCCTAAACGCCGAGAACTTCCAGGAGTTGTGTGGAAGGCCTATGGGAGACCCCCCATCCATAACCTGAAAACAGGCCTCTATCCCTAGAGAGTTTTCGGTTTAGGGCCTCTATCCCTAATCCTGCGCACTAAAATCTGTATCCACACCCCTGAAGCCTGAACCACTCAATCTCAAGCCCTAAAGCCCCTAAATCCTAAACCCTAAACCCTAAACTCCCTAAATCCTAAACCTTAAACCCAAAACTCCAGAAGTCCTAAACCCTTAACTCCCTAAATCCTAAACCCTTAACTCCCTAAATCCTAAACCCTTAACTCCCTAAATCCTAAACCCTTAACTCCCTAGATCCTAAAACCCTGAACCCTAAACCCTAAACCCTCAACCATCCTAAAACCCTAAAACCCTCAACCATCCTAAACCCTATATCCTGCTAGAGCCGCCTCGGGGTCTGCTGATGACAACGCCGGGTTTTTGAAGCAGGCGTCCCCAAGTGACCTGCAACAGCGCTTGGGTTACTTGGGGTTTAAGGGTGCGCTGGTTTTTGGTGTTCAGGGTTTAGGGGTTCACTGGTTTAGGGTTTAGGAGTTCACTAGTTTGGGGTTTGGATTTTTTGGCGGTTTGAGTTTAGGGTTTAGGGGTTCACTGGTTTGGGTTGTCTCCCTTGCTACTGCCCCCAAGGCCTACACGTACGTAATTTCGCCAGCTCAAATTGGGGGGCTGTAGAGCTCAAATGACAGGGTGTAACCCCATTTCCGATAGTTATCATCATCGGCCTCACAGTCACATGTAACCTCCAAAGTTGGCTGAAATGGGGGGTCGAGAGTCCAAAAACACCAAGCCCCAAAATGGCTTCCGGATGTTGTGTACGTAGGTGAGTTGGGGGGCTGTGACCTTGTTTTAAGGGCCGCGAAATGTCATAGCTGAACAGGAGCCGCGTGGAGTAAAATGGGTCGTGTTTCTTTGAGATCATATCATTTTAGCCTTGGCTGAAATCCTTCCAGGGGGGGTGTGGGACCCCTATAAACCCTAAACCCCCCCAGCCCAAAGAGCCAACATGTAGGAAGGGGCCCAACCCCTGCTCCTAATCATTCATCCCAAACCCTAAACCCTAGACCCCTAAACCCTGAACCCTAATATGGGGGCCTGAATTCTTACCAATATTATGGTTCCATATTCCTTATATAATTGTGGTCTATGGTACCTCAAACTGACCTCAAAATGACATTGGTAATTAGACCCCTAAATCCTAAACCCTAAACCCCTAAACCCGCCTTGTGATGGAGAGGCCTTGGTATTCCCGGCGCGAGGACTTCGAGGCCCCGCGCTTGGCAGGGGCGGCGATGCGCCAAGCCCCGCGCACGTTCAGAACCTAAATTTGAAGTTTAGTATATAGGTGTACAGGGTTCAGGGGTCTAGGATTTAGGGTTTAGGGGTATATAGTTCAGGGGTATAGGGTTTAGGGGTATAGGTTTGAGGGTTCAGGTTTTAGGGTTTAGGGCTATATAGGGTTTCTATATAGCGGCATGTAAGGGTATATAAGGGTTTTAGAGAGGTATGTAGGATGTGGGGTTTTGGAAGCTAGGGTTTAGGTTTCAGGGTTTTGGATGTGGGGTTTACAGTAGGATTTGATTTGGCGTGGGTGGCCTACGTTTAGGGTTTAGATCTCTGCTATAAACAGAAGGAGCACATGATCTTACTCAATGCTGGGGACTTCTTGGGATGTGAAGTGTGGGGGTGTAGTGGTGTAGGATGTAGGATTGTCGCCTGCTACATCAGATAGCCCTAAACCCTAGGCCCTAAAAACTCCAGACCCTCGCTATGGCAAAGGCCCGGACTTACCGAACAGTAAGTGTCTAATCTTATAGCCAGTATAGGCTCTCAAATCGTGGGGTCTCTATATATCTGGTGTATACGCAGTACAAACGTTTGAGCGCCTGTGCAATACCCCTTACACAGGCTAAGGCGCGCATAAATCTACGACGGGCAAGAATGATTACAAGTATGACTTTGAGGTACGACTTGTACCATACAACCACAAGCAAGCTAGGACGAGTTATTGGTACTTAGCTAGGATTCCCTACATTGCAGTTCCCATAGATTCCCAACTTATATTTATTCTTTCATGTTCTTGCCCATGTCATTCTCCAACATTGGGAATTATTTGGGCCCCTGAACCCTAAATCCCAAGGCCCCAAAACCCTAAACCCCAAACCCGTAAACCCAAAACCCTGAACCGGTAAACCCTTATACCGCCTCAGAGAAAAGGCTTGCTACATGCAAGCCGAAGTACCAAGCCTCCTGCACGTTCTATCCGTTTCCTGGGATCTAAGCCAGTGGGGCTTAGGATGCAAATTGGGTTTAGTGGTTGAACCTAGTAAGATTGTATTCCTTCTGTAAAATACTATACCCCCAAAGGAGAAAATGATCTGACGTTTGGGAATGAAGGGTTCGCCTCAACCCCAGAAGTACGTAGAATTAGTGGCCTTTTGATCATTGTTAGGTGTTTGGACCATGATTTCCCTAAACCCTAAACCCTAAACCCATAAACCCCTGACCATAATTTCGATATTTTTGAGGTCTAGGCAGGTAGGGCTTGGGGATTAGATCTTGAGATCAAGGTTTAGGTTTCAGGATTTAAGGTTTAGGGTTTAGGGTTTAGGGCATAGGGCTTATTGTCATGGATCAAGCCTCAATCCTAAAGCTTGAGCTAAACCCTAAACCCTGATGCCTAAACCAAAAACCCTAATCCCTAAACCCTAAACCCTAGAATGTTTAAGGGGCAGGGCTGCGTGTGTTTGAATTTAGAATTCAGGGCTCAAAGTTCTTTGGGCCTCAACAGCTTGAGCCCTAAAACGTCCAAACTCAACGGCTCCATTCCATATGCGTGAGCCGTTTAGGGTTTAGGATCTTAGGATCTAGGGTTTAGGATCTTAAGATCTTAGGGGTTAGGGTCCATTAGCTGATGGATGATGCCCTTGGGTATTTCTCAAGGTAAGTCCACTTAAGGAGCCCGCGAATTATTGAATTTGCGTTGCTCGAGAAACCTTCTGTTCCGAATAGATCCACACAAAAGCAACTCCCTAAACTCTGAACCGTGGCATAGCCGGGGCTTCAGCGACTTCACAACATCTGGAAGGGTGGGGCGGCATCCAACTAGGAAGCCTCAAGCTCACAAAAGCGGGAGAACCAGTTGTTGGCAACACTTTGGAATTAGAACATGAATGGCCGTTCGATACATTAGGGACAGCCTACCCGCACCAAAACCCCCTAAAAACCTTAATCTCAACACGGTAACTCTTAACCTGAACCATTGAAAGCCACTTGAAGGTTCATAGGTAGTTACACATCAGGTCTTTCCGGGACAAAACAAGTTATCCTCTCACATTGATATGAGGCTTGCAACTTCATTTGCATATACCGCAAGCCTTCTAGCAGACCCTGACTTACCCTACGCCCTAAGCCCCAAACACTGAACCCTGAACCCCAAACCCTGTACCCTAAACACGAACTCCCCAAAAAAACACACCCTACCTGTGAAACTATAATTTTACTGGCTATTTCCGCCCTGGTGCGTATCACCCATGAAACTGTAGGCAATTGAAATTACATGTACACCCTAAAACCTAAACCCCCAACCCCAAACCCTAAACTCCAAACCCTAAACCCCAAACCTAAACCCCAAACCTAAACCCTAAACCCAAAACGCTCAAATATGTTAAGGCCAAAGCTTCTTCTCGTCTATTCGGTCCGGCTTGTGATCCTCGGTGATCTGCACCGCCGTACCTGCCCTGCAGAGAATCGCCCGAGAATCGCCGATGTGGGCCAAGACCTGGGAATGGGCTTTTAGGGGCTTAGGGCTTATATATAGGGGTATACAAGGCTGTTATCGTAGAGTTATATAGGGCTCATATAGGAATTTATTGTGCCTATGTGGGGTTTATGTAGAGTCAGATAGGTTTTTTTGCCTCAAGAATGGATATGGTAGTTTCCCAAAATAGGGGGACCCCAATATAGACCCTAATATACTATAAACCCTTATTATGG